ATAAAGAAAGGACTTGTATCTTAGAAGAATTAACAAACAAACATACAGAGACGTAACAGTAGTACATGAAACGTAAAGCAAAGACCAGATTGGCTATCCTTCGTAAAGTTGTACTTGAAACGTAAAGTTAAAACCAGATTGGCTATCCTTTGTAAAGTATTACATGAAACATAAAGCTAAGACCAGATAGGCTATCCTTTCTACAGCAGTAGACAAGATGTACAAGTAACTAAAGTGACAAAACAGTGCATGCAATAACAAGCTTTGAGTTATGCACTTTCTAGTTGTATTTAGACCAAAGTATGTTTTAAAGTGTAGTATAAAGGTTTGCTGATTGTGAAATATCATATCTGTTACATTTTATTTGTTTTTGTTCCTAGAACCTGATCTTCTTCCTTGGGGAACTACTTTTGTTTTTTCTTTCATATTTGGCCTTGAGGTTTGTCATTTATTTAGTAAATATTTGCAGAAGTATAAAACTTTAAAATACTGTGTAAGAGTACATCGAGAGGAATAAGCCAAGCAGTTAATTACTCTAATATCTTCACTAACTAATGTAAAAAATTTTAAAGCGTATATAGCGTTGAATACATTATATTAAAATTATTTTGAATGCTTAAATTGGTAAGTCACATGAAAACCACAGACGATATAAAGTTCTAGTGAAATAGTATGTATCAGAACTATACTTTAGCATTGTTTGCATTTGTAGGAAGTATGATGCCACTGACAATCAATCTCTTTTTGGAAGGATACATAACAGTTCTTTCCAATGCAAAATATTCCTACACTTACATCTTAAAGACGTGTTCAAATGTGTGTCACTAGAAAACAAATAAATCTGGATCAACCTGAGGCATCAGGACCACCCAGAAAGAAACGAACAACAAGTCGTATCTCAACCAGGAGAGCAAAGTGAGGCATCCTGTAACAGATGATAACCCGTGAACACAGAGGTCAATCCCAACAGCCATCTAATTGCCCCAGGCAACAGTATACAACATAATGAAAAAGGACCTGCTTCAACAACATATGCTTTCAATTGTTGCATACCTCAAACAGCTGGAGAGTGGAATTGATATTTATCCTATTCCATACAAAGGCTTGCCAATCAAGGTGCCGAATACAGCACCTATGGATTTTTGTGTGATCATAAACCATCATTCTCCTAAACTAGAAAGACTATAGAAACCATGCAGGAAGGAGTGGCGTAACTTTTACATGACAGCCTTATGATGGAGCCTTTTGCAATCAAAACTACATTGCAAGCCTATTCTCAAGATTCATGGTCATTTGAGTGGCATGACTATAGTGATGTGGTGAGGATCCAAAATCATTTTAATATAATGTACTTCAACCTATCTGTAATAGGAACATGCCTTCTATTTCAACATTAAATGTATGTTATATTTTAAATAAAAGGCTGTGTAATTTCTATTTAATTTTGTCTGTACTGTACAATTCTGGCTGAGCCTTTTTTACCATAATGTTATTGTGTGGAAAAACAATTTGTTGTATTTATGTGTGAAGGTGTAGGTTTAATATGGAAATGAATACGAGAATACACTTCTTTCTTGATCATTTTTATTGAGGGTTACCAAGAACATGTACTATATTGTTGGATATTTCATTTCTTTAAAAGATTATTTGTTTACTTGTATAGTTACATGGTTATTTATTTGAGGATTTATTTCGTAATTTTGTATTTTTATAACTATACATATATATTTAAACAAGTGTAACAAAGTTTTCCTTCTGTCATCAGTCTGCTTATTATATCAGGTTTATGCATGGGTGGGGATGCATTGTTTTCAGTGTTGTTCTGATAATAAAAATGGTATTAATGGGAGTTAAGTCAGTAATCAAACTTTCTTTTTTCAAGTATGGAATTATTATAGGCATCGGAATCGCTATGATCATGTTACTGTACACAACTGCAAGACCAAAAATAAGCATCTCCTTAAAACAGGTCAGCAAAAAACTTTCAGTTTATATGTGTTATACTTTTAAATAGTCTAACCTCAATTCTTTGGATCAAGATCTTTTAGCTTTAGGACCAAATGTGCATGTGTAGACCACTTGGGTCAGTATTCATGGTGTTTTTCACAGCTGTTACTCATATAAAAATAAGAAATCTGCATTGTGAATATGAAGCCTTCTATATTCACATTGTTGAAGAAATATAATTGTTAATGATATCGAGATTGAATTACCAACTTATGTTATTGATTAGAATATGATAGGTAAGTAACCAGTAAAATTAGCTTGCTTATGGTATTGATTAGAATATGACAGGTAAGTAACCAGTAAAATTAGCTTGCTTATGTTATTGATTAGAATATGACAGGTAAGTAACCAGTAAAATAGTTTGCTTATGTTATTGATTAGAATATGATAGGTAAGTAACCAGTAGAACTAGCTTGCTTGTATTATTTATTAGAATATGATAGGTAAGCAACCAGTAAAACTAGATTGCTTATGTAATTGATTAGAATATGATAGGTAAGTAACCAGTAAAATTAGCTTGCTTATGCTATTGATTAAAATATGATAGGTAAATAACCAGTAAAACTAGTTTGCTTATTATTGATAAGAATACGATAGGTAAATAACCAGTAAAATTAGATTGCTTATGTTATTGACTAGAATACGATAGGTAAGTAACCAATAAAATTAGCTTGCTTATGTTATTGATAATATTATGGTAGGTAAGTAACCAATAAAATTAGATTGCTTATGTTATTGATGATAGGAAGGTAACCAGTAAAATTAGCTTGCTTATGCTATTGATTAGAATATGATAGGTAAGTAACCAGTAAAATTAGTTTGCTTATTATTGATTAGAATATGACAAGTAAGTAACCAGTAAAATTAGATTGCTTATGTTATTGATTAGAATATGATAGGTAAGTAACCAGTAAAACTAACTTGCTTATGTTATTGATTAGAATACGATAGGTAAGTAACCAGTCTTGCTTATGTTATGATTAGAATACGATAGGTAAATAACCAGTAAAATTAGCTTGCTTATGTTGTTGATCAGAATATGATAGGAAAGTAACCAGTAAATTTAGCTTGCTTTTATCATTGATTAGAATATGATATGTAAGTAACCAGTAAAATTAGCTTGATTTTGTTCTTGATTAGAATATGATAGGTAAGTAACCAGTAAAATTAGCTTGCTTATTTTATGATTAGAATACGATAGGTAAGTAACCAATTAAAGTAGCTTGCTTATGTTATAGTGAGAACCCTATTGTTAAGTAACCAATAAAATTAGCTTGATTATGTTATTATTAGAATATGATAGGTAAATAACCAGTAAAATTAGCTTGATTATGTTATTGATTAGAATATGATAGGTAAATAACCAGAAAAATTAGCTTGCTTATGTTATTGATTAGAATATGATAGGTAAGTAACCAGTAAAATTATCTTGCTTATGTTATGATTAGAATACGATAGGTAAGTAAACAGTCAAATTAGCTTGCTTATGTTATAATGAGAACTTGATAGGTAACTAACCAGTAAAATTAGCTTGCTTATGTTATGATTAGAATACAATAGGTAAGTAACCAGTAAAATTATCTTGCTTATGTTATGATTAGAATATGATATGTAAGTAACCAGTAAAATTAGCTTGCTTGTGTAATTGATTAGAATATGATAGGTAAGTAACCAGTAAAATAGTTTGCTTATGTTATTGATTAGAATATGATAGGTAAGTAACCAGTAAAACTAGCTTGCTTATGTCATTGATTAGAATATGATAAGTAAGTAACCAATAAAATTAGCATGATTATGTTTTTGATTAGAATATGATAGGTAAATAACCAGAAAAAGTAGCTTGCTCATGTTATTGATTAGTATATTATAGGTAAATAACCAGTGAATTAGCTAGCTTGTATTATTTATTAGAATATGATAGGTAAGCAACCAGTAAAACTAGATTGCTTATGTTATTGATTAGAATATGACAGGTAAGTAACCAGTAAAATTAGCTTGCTTATGTTATTGATTAGAATATGATAGGTAAATAACCAGAAAAATTAGCTTGCTTATGTTATTGATTAGGATATGATAGGTAAGTCACCAGTAAAAATATCTTGCTTATGTTATTGACTAGAATACGATAGGTAAGTAACCAATAAAATTAGCTTGCTTATGTTATTGATTATATTATGGTAGGTAAGTAACCAATAAAATTAGATTGCTTATGTTATTGATTAGAATATGATAGGTAGGTAACCAGTAAAATTAGCTTGCTTATGCTATTGATTAGAATATGATAGGTAAGTAACCAGTAAAATTAGTTTGCTTATTATTGATTAGAATATGACAGGTAAGTAACCAGTAAAATTAGATTGCTTATGTTATTGATTAGAGTATGATAGGTAAGTAACCAGTAAATTTATCATGCTTATGTTATTGATTAGAATATGATAGGTAAGTAACCAGTAAAACTAGCTTGCTTATGTTATTGATTAGGATATGATAGATAAGTAACCAATAAAATTAGATTGCTTATGTTATTGATTAGAATATGACAGGTATGTAACCAGTAAAATTAGCTTGCTTATGTTATTGATTAGAATATGATAGGTAAATAACCAGAAAAATTAGCTTGCTTATGTTATTGATTAGGATATGATAGGTAAGTAACCAGTAAAACTAACTTGCTTATGTTATTGATTAGAATACGATAGGTAAGTAACCAGTAAAATTATCTTGCTTATGTTATGATTAGAATACGATAGGTAAATTACCAGTAAAATTAGCTTGCTTATGTTGTTGATCAGAATATGATAGGAAAGTAACCAATAAATTTAGCTTGCTTTTATTATTGATTAGAATATGATATGTAAGTAACCAGTAAAATTAGCTTGATTGTGTTCTTGATTAGAATATGATAGGTAAGTAACCAGTAAAATTAGCTTGCTTATTTTATGATTAGAATACGATAGGTAAGTAACCAATTAAAGTAGCTTGCTTATGTTATAGTGAGAACCCTATTGGTAAGTAACCAATACAATTAGCTTGATTATGTTATGATTAGAATATGATAGGTAAATAACCAATAAAATTAGCTTGATTATGTTATTGATTAGAATATGATAGGTAAGTAACCAGTAAAATTAGCTTGCTTATGTTATTGATTAGAATATGATAGGTAAATAACCAGAAAAATTAGCATGCTTATGTTATTGATTAGAATATGATAGGTAAGTCACCAGTAAAAATATCTTGCTTATGTTATTGATTAGAATACGATAGGTAAGTCACCAGTAAAAATAGCTTGCTTATGTTATTGATTAGAATATGACAGGTAAGTAACCAGTAAAATTAGATTGCTTATGTTATTGATTAGAATACGATAGGTAAGTAACCAGTAAAACTAGCTTGCTTATGCTATTGATTAGAATATGACAGGTAAGTAACCAGTAAAACTAGTTTGCTTATGTTATTGGTTAGAATATGATAGGTAAGTAACCAGTAAAATAAGCTTGCTTATGTTATTGATCTGAAAATGATAGGTAAATAACAAGTAAAACTAGCTTGCGTGTGTTATTATTAGAATATGATAGGTAAGTAATCAGTAAAATTATCTTGCTTATGTTATGGATTATAATATGATAGGTAAGTAACCAGTAAAACTAGTTTGCTTATGTTATTGATTAGAATATGATAGGTGAGTATACAATAAAATTATCTTGCTTATGTTATGGATTATAATATGATAGGTAAGTAACCAGTAAAACTAGTTTGCTTATGTTATTGATTAGAATATGATAGGTGAGTATACAATAAAATTAGATTGCATATGTTATTGATTAGAATATGATAGGTAAGTAACCAATAAAATTAGCTTGCTTATGTTATTGATTAGAATATGATAGGTAAGTAACCATTAAAACTAGCTTGCTTATGTTATTGATCTGAATATGATAGGTAAGTAACCAGTAAAACTAACTTGCTTATGTTATGATTAGAATACGATAGGTAAGTAACCAGTAAAATTATCTTGCTTATGTTATGATTAGAATACGATAGGTAACTAACCAGTAAAATTAGCTTGCTTATGTTGTTGATCAGAATACAATGGGTATGTAACCAGTAAATTTATCTTGCTTGTGTTATGATTAGAATATGATAGGAAAGTAACCAGTAAGATTAGCTTGCTTATGTTATGATTAGAATACAATAGGTAAGTAACCAGTAAAGTTATCTTGCTTAAGTTATGATTAGAATACAATAGGTAAGTAAACAGTAAATTTAGCTTGCTTATATTATTGATTAGAATATGATAAGTAAGTAACCAGTAAAATTAGTTTGCTTATGTTATTGATTAGAATATGATATGTAGGTAACTAGTAAAATTAGCTTGCTTATTTTATGATTAAAATACGATAGGTAAGTAACCAATTAAAGTAGCTTGCTTATGTTATAGTGAGAACCCTATAGGTAAGTAACCAATAAAATTAGCTTGATTATGTTATGATTAGAATATGATATGTAAATAACCAATAAAATTAGCTTGAATATGTTATTGATTAGAATATGATAGGTAAGTAACCAGTAAAATTAGCTTGCTTATTTTATTGATCTAAATATGATAGGTAACTAACCAGTAAAATTAGCTTGCTTATGTTATTGATCTAAATGTGATAGGTAAGTAACCAGTAAACTAGCTTGCTTATGTTATTGATCAGAATATGATAGGTAAGTAACCAATAAAATTAGCTTGCTTATGTTATTGATTAGAATATGATAAGTAAATAACCAGTAAAACTAGCTTGCTTATGTCATTGATTAGAATATGATAGGTAAGTAACCAATAAAATTAGCTTGCTTATGTTATTGATTAGAATATGATAAGTAAATAACCAGTAAAATAAGCTTGCTTATGTTCATAACTAGAATATGATAGGTAAGTAACCAGTAAAACTAGCTTGCTTAAGTTATTGATTAGAATATTATAGGTAAATAACCAGTAAAATTAGCTTGCTTGTGTTATTGATCAGAATATGATAGGAAAGTAACCAGTAAAATTAGCTTGCTTATATCATTGATTAGAATATGATTGGAAAGTAACCAGTAAACTTAGCCTTCTTATATTATTGATTAGAATATGATAGGTAAATAACCAGTAAAATTAGCTTGCTTATGTTATAATGAGAACTCGATAGGTAAGTAACCAGTAAAATTAGCTTGCTTATGTTGTTGATCAGAATATGATAGGAAAGTAACCAGTAAATTTAGCTTCCTTATATTGTTGATTAGAATATGATAAGTAAGTAACCAGTAAAATTAGCCTTCTTATATTATTGATTAGAATATGATAGGTAAGTAACCAGTAAAATTAGCTTGCTTGTGTTATAATGAGAACTCGATAGGTAAGTAACAAATAAACCTAGCTTGCTTATGTTATTGATCAGAATATGATAGGAAAGTAACCAGTAAAATTAGCTTGCTTATGTTATTGATTAGAATATGATAGGTAAGTAACCAGTCAAATTAGCTTGCTTATGTTATAATGAGAACTCGATAGGTAAGTAACCAGTAAAATTAGCTTGCTTATGTTGTTGATCAGAATATGATAGGAAAGTAACCAGTAAATTTAGCTTGCTTATATTATCAATTAAAATATCATAGGTAAGTAACCAGTAAAATAGGCCTGCTTATGTTATTGATTAAAATATGATAGGTAAGTAACCAGTAAAATAGACTTGCTTATGTTATTGATTAAAATATGATAGGTAAGTAACCAGTAAAATAAGCTTGCTTGGCAAGCTGTTATTTTTGTTTTAGGGATTTTAATCCTTAAAATGAACTGCAGTATTTTTTACTTTACAGACTTCTGATGGAACTAAGTACGTCCTTGTAAGACCAGATCGTGCGTTATTATTTCCTTCAGCTGAATTCTTCAGAAGTAGAGTTACTAAGGCCTTTCTAACAAGTGGTAAGTATTCTTCTTATAAATTTAGGATAAGTTGTAATAGGACAGTGATACATTTAATATTTCTTGAGTAGAAGTTGTAAAAATTGTGGAATTATTAAAACACTACAAGCTTCTGATTCTTCATTCTAAGAATACTAATTCACTGGTCAAATAAGGTCACTGTGCGCCCCCCTTAACAGTATGAAAGGGGTATATTTTTGTTCCTTGCAGTCTGACAATCACTATAAGCAATGTTACCAAGAAATAAACTGGTAATAACTTCATTTATAGCCTGTTTATTTATAGGTAAGATCTTTGCACTGTTAATCTGATTTCTGATGCTCCAAAAATACACGTGAGAAGTCCAGAGTATGTGATCTTTTTTTGCAAATATTCATTTGAAAAGCAAAGATTGGGGTATTTTAGAAAAAGTTTAAGGTATTTCTTCACAAGAGAACCATATTCAAATGATTTATGGGAAGAAAACTTCTTTAGAATACAGACTTATACATATAAGCATATAAGGTCAGGAATTAACATAACCCCTTGTTTTTGGAGCATCGGAAATCACATTAAGAGCGGAAAGACCCCACCTATGAATAAACAGGCCATACAGATAGTTAATCCCAGTTTATTTGTTGGTAACATTACTTATATTTATTGTTTACTCCAAGGAACAAAAATGTACCCCTTTCATACTGTTATGGGGGGGGGGTGCACAGTGACCATATTTGGCCCATAAACTATACATTATCATTCAATATATGTTTGTGATAAATGTTAATGTTCTTTATCACTAATTAATACTGTAGTATTCTGCAGACATTATGACCGTCCCTACTGTCATGTTAAGAGTAAAAATATAGTGGTATTTTTTGTTAAGAGTGAAAACCACAAAAACCAACATTTTTAGGCACAAAAAAAGATAAAATCTTTATTAGTTACAGCTGACTAATTTTGGTAACACAGTTACTATTATCAGGGCTAGTTTGTACAGTGTTAGCATGGCATATATTCAGCTAAAATCATTAATATGTGATTTCATTTTAAAAAACAAGGGGAGGAAAGTAATTCATAAATGAGGGATTACTTAAGTTAAGTAAGTTTTCCAATAGAAGAAGTTGATTGGTTTGTTTTGTTTTTGAATTTCGTGCAAAGCTACACGAGGGCTACTGCACTTGCCATCCCTAATTTAACAGTGTAAGACTAGAGAGAAGGCAGCTAGTCATCACCACCCACTGCCAACTGTTGGGCTACTCTTTTACCAATGAATAGTGGGATTGACCGTCACATTATAACGGCCCCACGGCTGAAAGGGCAAGCATGTTTGGTGTGACGGGGATTCGAACCCGCAGATTGCAAGTCGAGCGCCCTAACCACCTGGCCATTTTGGACATTAAGACAAATACACTTGTTAGTTACTCCTGTCATTTCACAACCATTTTGGACATTAAGACAAATACATGTTGTAAGTTACTCCTGTCATTTCACAACCATTTTGGACATTAAGACAAATACGTGTTGTAAGTTACTCCTGTCATTTCACAACCATTTTGGACTTTAAGACAAATACGTGTTGTAAGTTACTCCTGTCATTTCACAACCATTTTGGACTTTAAGACAAATACATGTTGTAAGTTACTCCTGTCATTTCACAACCATTTTGGACATTAAGACAAATACACTTATTAGTTACTCCTTTCATTTCACAACCATTTTGGACATTAAGACAAATACATGTTGTAAGTTACTTCTGTCATTTCACAACCATTTTGTACATTAAGACAAATACATGTTGTAAGTTACTCCTGTCATTTCACAACCATTTTGTACATTAAGACAAATACATGTTGTAAGTTACTCCTGTCATTTCATAACCATTTTGGACATTAATCATTGTTTTTAGAAAACATCCACAAAGTGGTGAACATATTGTTGGGAACGTATTGATTAGCACATCTGGCAAAACCACGAAACAATATGTGTACTACATCCAAACTCCATCATGGTACTGGTAGTAAGATATTTATCCACTAGAGATAAAAGTGTACAACATCTGAACTCCATCATGGTACTGGTAGTAAGACATTTATCCACTAGAACTCATTAGAAACAAAGCACATTATGTGGAATTAGACATATTGTAAACTGAACATTAAGATTTGTTCAACATTTTAATTAACTATAAACTCCTAAAGACAAGTATTTAACATAAGTTATTATCTTGTTTTACCGTTAGATACAATAGGATTTGTTCAACATTACAATATTTCATGAATACAGTTTTCAAACTTTCACTTTCTTTTTTCCACATTTTGAACACCAGGTTTAATCAGTTTTGCAGTAAATTCAACCATCTTTTTGCCACCAATTATATAATTAATGTTTACATAATGTTGAGACTTTTAGAAACTTTTATGTAGCACACCTGTATGCAGAATGTTTAAAAGTGGGGGGTCTATTTTGTGAGATCAAAAGTGAACACATACTGTGTGAATGTAGACTATGTAGAAAAGGTTAAATACCATAAGAAGAATGTAAACTATGTAGATAATGTTAAATACCATAAGAAGAATGTAAATTAATTAGATAATGTTAAATACTCTTACGACAGTGGACGCTGGTAACACGTAATGAGTATCTAGAACGTTCGTGAAGGCTCGAGTGTTTGCCACACGACCTCTATTTTGTATATATATTCAGTCCTGTTAGAAGCCACATCCCAGATATTAATGTCGACATTAGGGGTGATCTAGTACAAAGGAAGCCACAGGAATTCAATGGGAGGCACCGTGGAAAGCATATAGAGCACAATTTGATCAGAAAGCAGTGTACCTGGCAACAAGCCTGAAGGGACAACCACTGGAAATACTTGGACAGTTGTCAGCAGACGACAGGCACAACTATAGAGCACTCGTAGCTGCTCTAGAACTCAGGTATGGAACCCATAATCAGTCCAAAGTCTACAGGGCTAGGTTTAGGACTACAGTTCGTGCAAAACGTAAGAGCCTGCAAGAGCTGGCACAGGACTTAGAAAGTATGGCACACAAGGCCTACCCAACTGCACCACCCGATGTCCTCAAGTTGTTGCTGAGGGATCAGTTTGTAGATGCCTTGGACAGTCCACAACTGAAAATACAAGTAAAGCAAGCACACCCCTCTACTATGTAGGATGCAATGGCCAGAGCTCTTGAATTTGAATCCTACGTTAAGTCCAGCACAGAGGTACCAAGGTTGGTACAGTCATCAGGATTCAAGGCCAGAAAAGGTCAGCTTTCAGAGAGGTTTGAGGGACTTTGCTGGCAATGTAACAAACCTGGGCTGCAGAAAGCTCAATGCTGGAAACTTCAACACAGGGAAGATGCCACGACATGAAAGGCTGCTACCCAGAAAGGTTGTTGGAACTGTGGAGAGCAAGGATATATGAGGAGCCAGTGTAAGAAGAATATTACCAATAAGTCAGCCTTGTGGAAACCAGTAGTGGGTGGTGTTGAGGTACGCCCACCAACCCCCATCATGAAGTCCCAACAGCCAGGTGTAAAATGCCAAGCACACATAGTGTCTA